AAAGAGAATATAACCAACTTTGCAATCTTTGATTACAATTTTTATTCTAAAGTTTTAGCCTAAGCCTTTAGAGCTTACTTTAGAGCTTTAGAGCTTTAGAGCTTTTAGATGCTAGCGGTTATATTCTCTTTAACGAAAAAGAGAATATAACCGCTAGCAGTAAGCTCTAAATTAGGCTAAAACTTTAGAATGAAAATTGTAATGAAAGATTGCAAAGTTGGAAAGTTGGAAAGTTGCTGGTGAAAGAAAAAGTAAAGGCTTAAAACTAGCGTAACTCTCGAAGCAGATCGCTTGGTGAGTTACGGCTGGTTCTAATTGTAATCAAAGATTGCAAAGTTGGAAAGATCGCTTGGTTACTCACCAAGCTATCTGCCTCGAGAGTTACGCTAGTTCTAAAGATGTTTACCTGCAAAAAGAGTTACCAAATCATCATTTTACAGTCAAAAATTGGGGAAATTTAGAGAAGTTTCTTGATTGGATCCATCTAGATTCGCCTCTAGGGCTCTCCCAAGAAAAATTAAAATCGAAACTTTCAGTCATTTCAGTCACTTATAATATTAGTGATTCGAAGCCGGGTTTTCGTGAATGAATTTGATAATTTTATTTTAATAATTTGATAATTAGTCATAATTTTATTTTCATAATTTGATAATTAATCATAATTTTATCAAATTCACCTTTGAAAACATTGAAAAAGTGAAAATTTTGAAAAATTGCGGCCATAAATCACTATTTGCATATAAATTCCCCAACTTTTCCCTAATCTGATTCACCTATTTCTCTCAAAAAGCTCTATTCCATGCGTTTTTTTTTGTTTTTATTGAATTCCTCCTTTCAATAGCTTCATCATCATCTATTTTTTTTTCAAGAAAATGGAATTATAAAAGCATTCGCTAGGTTTTTTTTCGTTTTCTTTACGCTTGAGTACCTTTGATTTCTTTGCTTTCTTTGCCTAGATTGCATATTTTCACATAAACATCGAGAGATCCATTAAAAAGCGCCGGCTAGAAAGGAAAACATAGAGATCGACGGGTTTTAAAGCTAAAAAATAGAGTTCAGCTATCTTATCCTCAACATTTGCAATATTGAATGAAAGATTTCTAAATTTTTTATTAAGATTTCTAAAGATTTCTAAAGATTTTTTTAGATTTCTTTAGATTTCTTTAGATTGTTCATTTACTGATGGCTGATAAAAGATTCCTTCTATAGTTGGTCGCAAACTTGTTCGCAAACTTGTTTACAAACTTGTTCGCGAACTTGTTGGTAAACTTGTTCACAAACTTGTTCGCAAACTTGTTCAGTTCACAAACTTGTTCGTAAACTTGTTCATAAACTTGTTCGTAAACTTGTTCGCAAACTTGTTCGTAAACTTGTTCGTGAACTTGTTCACAAACTTGTTCGTAAACTTGTTCGCAAACTTGTTCACAAACTTGTTCGTAAACTTGTTCACAAACTTGTTCGCAAACTTGTTCAGTTCACAAACTTGTTCGTAAACTTGTTCACAAACTTGTTCACAAACTTTAACTTATTGTTAGACTTAGAAAAAAAGCATTTCAATCTACGATAAAAATTGACTCTGTTCAGTCAAAAGCAGAGTTTTTATTGTTTCTAGAATAGAAAATTCAAGCAATCAATTGGATTAAATCGATTGAACTGGCTTCAGACTGGCGCTAGCCTATCGAATTTTTTTTGGCATTAACATAAGAAAATTAGCATAAATATACGATTTAATGAATTCTTTTTCATTGATTTCATCGAGATCAAAGTCAAAATGAATCAATAAATCAAAAAAAAAAGCATACAACCTTTACAAATGAAAAATTACTCGAAATTTCTTAGCTTTCCTATATTTTCTTAGTCAATAGCTATTAGATTCATTCTTAGCTTCTTAGCTATTAGATTCATTCTTTTCACAAGGTTTTTTTTTGAGAGAAATGGGGGTCAGCTGGGTGTCGAATTGGCCAGCAAAAGGAAATGGTTTTCCTGATTTTTTTTTTCTTTAAAGGACCCTTTCCAAGACTGGGATCAGTCTTTTCAAAAAATTTCAAGAAAAAAAAAAGATTTTCCAGTTCAAATCTTATTTCATTCTTTTGAATCTAAAATTCTTTAAAAGAAATGAAAATTTTTCTTTAAAATCTGTCAAAAATAGCAATAGAGCAATAGTTGAAGGTGCTCTAATTGCTCCATTGCTCTCTAAAATCTTATTTTTTACAAGATTCCTTCACAATTTCACCACATTGAATAAGTTTTTGGCTATAGAACAACAAAAAGCGATCAATTTTTACCGTTTTTCTCCTCTCTTTTTTCTCACTATGCAAACATTGAGAGGGAAACTGATTTTTCCAAAATTCTCTTGAAAAACTCTTTGCTCAAAAAGAGAATTCAGTTGAAAACTTCCACATTTCGCGGCTTTTCCGGGATTTCTTTTCTCTTTTCCCCCTTCGATCTCAATTTTAAACATTCAACAACATCTGTGCTTTTTCTTTTCTCTTTCTGCTTAAAGAAATTCGAGAAATCTTTTAGCTTTCAACTTTTAACTTTACAAAAAATTTTAATTGAAAGACTTTACTCGATTCGATTCGATTCGATTCTATTCTATTTGATTCGATTCGATTTGATTCGATTCGATTCCATTTGATTCCATTCTATTTGATTCCATTCGATTCGATTCCATTCGATTCGGCTCCCTTCGATTCCATTTGATTCCATTTGATTCCATTCGATTCCATTCGATTCCATTCGATTCGATTCCAATCGATTCTATTCTATTCCATTCCATTCCATTCCATTCCATTCGATTCCATTCCATTCCATTCCATTCGATTCCATTCCATTCGATTCCATTCCATTCCATTCCATTCCATTCGATTCCATTCCATTCGATTCCATTCCATTCCATTCGATTCCATTCCATTCCAATCGATTCCATTCCATTCTATTCCATTCCATTTTCGACGTAAACTTTTCTGCTCTTTATACTTTGTAATTCAAGAGTAAAAACCTCATTATCTAGCGCACTGTTTTCAATCTTTTTATTCAAGTTTACAAGAAAAAAAAACAAAGATTTAAGTGCGCTAGATCATTGTGTGTTTCAAGTTTTTGCGCACAAAGTATAGCTTAAAAACAGCAATTTCAAATAAGCTTTATTTTCTTTATCTGTTTTCTTAATTTTCTTCAATTTCTTAACGTTCTTCAATTTTTAACTTTCTTCAATTTCTCAACGTTCTTCAATTTCTTAATTTCCTTCAATTTCTTAATTTCCTTCAATTTCTTAATCTCCTTCAATTTCTCAAATCATTCTTTAGTTTCATTTTTCATTTTTCTAATATTTTCTAGTCATTTTTGATTGAGAAGAAAAAAAAATGAACGAAGAACGAAAAAATTCGGTATGTCAAGGGGAAATCTTTCTTATAAACTCTTATAAACTAAAAATTTTCAAGAATATCTTAATTTAATATTGAAAAATTATTGACAAACATAAGTATTTAAAAAAAAAAAAACAAACGTCTTTAACTTTTTCTTTTCGAAAAATTTATAAAATGTTTAGATGAAAGTCGATTACACACATATGCATCATCGAATCGAGACTTTAAATGGAAAAGAGACAAAAAATGAAGGTTTCTTTGTCATTTGTTTAATCAAAAAACAAGAGAATCGAGTTTTTGTTTGAAATTTTCTTTAAATCATTTCTTTAAATCATATCTTTAAATTTCTAAAGCTAAACTTAGTTTGTTAACTTACTGTTGACTTACTGTTAATGTCCTGATATATGATATAATGTCTTGAATTAACTTACTGTTAATGTTAATGTTAACTGTTAATGTTAACTGTTAATGTTAACTGTTAATGTTAACTGTTAATGTTAACTGTTAATGTTAACTGTTAATGTCTTGATATAGAGTGAAAAGTCTTCTTTCTTTTAACACAAAATTCAAGCCAGTTTAAGTCTAGAGAAGGCAAGGTTAAAACGAAGAAAACTAGTTCTGGAATAAGTCCGCTTATCGTTAAAAACTAGAGCTTGGTAATTGAAATGAAACTTTTTTTCAGTCGCTGTTCAACAAATCACAAACGGCTATCAAAATCAATCAGCTTTTTCCACAATCAATCAGCTTGGTCCATCTTTCCCCGCCATTCAGAGTAATTTCGATTTTGATCAAGGAAAATTGCAATTGAATATGAACGATCCACAGGTGGGTAGCCAAAAATTAATAAGAACTTGATAAGAAAAAAAAGGAGAGATCTCAAAGCATACTTTTCAGAGTAAAGTGTTTAGATTTGTGCTAGATTGTAAACGATTTGTGATTTGTGCTAGATTGTGCTAGATTTGTGCTAGATTTGTGCTAGATTTCTAGTATTGTCGCAAGAAAACTAAAGAAGCTCGAATACCCCAGATTTATTTAGCAAATAGCTTGTAAAAATAGCAATAGAGCAATAGTTGAAGCTAGATTTGTGCTAGATTTGTGCTAGATTGTGCTAGATTTCTTAAATGTTAAATGTTCTCTAAAATCTTATTTTTTACAAGAAATTCTTGACAATTTCACCACATTGAATAAGTTTTTGGCTATAGAACAACAAAGGAAAGATCCCAAAGAAAGATCCCATACTTTTCAGAGTAAAGTGTTTAGTTTTGTGCTAGATTTGTGCTAGATTTGTGCTAGATTTGTGCTAGATTTCTAGTATTGTCGCAAGAAAACTAAAGAATCTCAAATACCCCAGATTGCGATTTGTTAACAATTTTACAACAGCTAGTACACCACAAACAGCGATCAAAATCAATCAGTCAATCAAAATCAATCAATCTTTTGAGCTAGTCCACCTCAATTCCAAAATTGTTAAACATTTAACTTTGCAGGATATGAAAATCGCGAACGTCTTCAATCAGACAAAGGAAACATTCTCCAATATGTTATCAAAGGTTTGAAATCAAAAAATTCCTGAAAAATTGTAAAATTCAGGAGAAAAATGATTGGATTCAAAAGTTTCCGGAGTTATTTTCAAAGATGCGAACTCAATCGCAATTGATTCCGTCAACGATTACGGAGAAGGTGGTGAATCCGGATGGAAGTGTGACGACGAGGTTGAAGTCGAGTCACAGTATGAGGTGAGTGAAAGAGAATTGCTGGGGGGATTTCATGTAAATTAAATTGGATTCTTTATAATGAAAAGGATATCTATCTTCTAGATAAATACCGTAAATACTGTAATTGCACCCCACCCCTCTAATAGTACCCCCCTCTAATAGTACCCCCCTCTAATAGTACCCCCCTCTAATAGTACCCCCCTCTAATAGTACCCCCTCTAATAGTACCCCCCTCTAATAGTACCCCCCTCTAATAGTACCCCACCCTAGAGGGGGAGGGAAAAAATAGTACCCCATGGGGTCCAATTACAGTATTTACGGTAGGTGTTTCCTTTTTAACCCGTAAAGAATCCGGTTTTGCTGTTTTCGGTGTCAATGTCAATGTCAATACGCCCAAAGTTCTGATTTCGATTTTTGATTGTGATAGTTGTAAACTGAGTAAATTGAGAGAACAATGATAGTGAATTGAGTTTACCCTAAGTAACCTTGCGTTTAAAATTAGCCTCCATTTCCTTTTTTTTCTCACTTTTCCCTTTCCCAACTATTGTAAGCCACAGACGGGGTGTTAAAAGTGCGAAAAATCGAGTAAGAGAGTTCTCTTTGTTGGGGAAAAAAAGGAGAATGGACCTCATTCTTTTTTTCTCGAAAATTCCCTATGCAAATCCATTTCATTTCGATCGATTTCCCTGCTAGAGCCAATTGAAAGTTCATTTGTGAAAGTTCAAATCTTTAATCTTAATCTACAACTAAAATTTCAACGATTTCTTCGTGAGTTTTTTGAGATTTCTAGATTTATAGATATCGATCTTGAATCTATCTATGAATAGTCACAAGAGAGAGCTTTCTGATTTAAAATAAATCAAGATTTGAGCATAAAACTTCAAAATGACAATTTCGATCTTCATAGCACTTCAAAAATACCAAAACAAAACAAAGCTTATAGATTTATAAGGCACTTTTCAAAGGCTTCTTCTAAGTTTTGTTAAAAATTCAATGACTTTCAACTTTTAAAAAGTTATGTAAGGCTTTTCTATTCATAGAAACATACTCGATTATTCATTTTTAGCTTTTGTTCTGTTCAGTTTTGGTATTTGTGCTATGAAGATTGTCATTTTGAAGTTTTAAGCTCAAATCTTGATTTATTTTAAATCAGAAAGCTCTCTCTTTTTACTATTCATTGATAGTTATCAGTTACTCAAGAAAGTTTTTTTTTGATTTCAACAGTTCAACATTCTCCTTTATCATTATATTGCTATATCGCTGATATAGTGATATAGTGATATAGTGATAAAGGAGAATGTTGAACTGTTGAAGCGATATAGCGATATAGTGATGCGTTGGTACTCGATTAAACAAAAGTCTTATAGTTTTCTAAAACATCAATAAAATCATAAAAAGAAAACATTATTCAAGCCTAACTTTCAGTTCGCAGTGGAGCCGTCAAGAAACATACATAAATGGAGTGAAGCAAATGTCGAAAAGTCGTTTCCGAGCATTCGTCGAGTACAAAGTGAGTGTGGTCTTTAAATCTCACAAACAAAATCTTGTTTTGGAAATTTATCTGATTTGAATTATTTGAGATTAAGCCTATCGGTTCTGTATTTCCAATGAATGAAATTTTTTTCACTAGATGTGTACGAAATCTTTGTAATCGGCTTCTGCGAACATGGCTAGATTCGAGTGATTCGTTAATGGCTAGCCCTTAACGAATCATTCGTTAGCGGCTGAATTTCGTAAACGGCTACGACATATATTAGGTTGTCCAGTTATGAATGCGCGCCTGCTCTTGAACAGCGTAGCTTAGGGCTATACAATTTTATCAAACCTTATTCTCTATATGCTGTTCAAGATTTCTTATTTATTACAACTTTTCGTGTTTTTGACGACGTTAAACTAATTCATTTTTGATTTAATTTCCATGTTTAGATGACCGAGACGAAGTTTCGTCTTTGTGCCAGTCTTTGGTATGACTTCAAATTGGGCAAAAATGCCGTTGAATCTCATCGCGATCTCTGCAAAGTATTTGGCGAAGATGCTATTTTGGAAAGCCAGTGTCGCCGATGGTTTCAACGATTTCGAGAAGGAAATGAATCTTTGGAAGACGAAGACCACCAACGACGACCTCCTGCGATCGATAATGCAGTACTGAAGCAGGCGATAGAAATGGATCCTCGACAAACTACACGTGAATTTGCAGAAATATTTAGAGTAAGCCCTCAAACAATTTCCGAGCATTTAAATCAATTGAGGAAAACAAGCCGACAAGGGAAATGGGTTCCTCATCTTCTCAGCAATGCCAATAAAGCTACTCGTGTCACTATGGCTGGTATTCTTCTTCGTTTGGCAAAAATACTGAGTTTTACGATGAAATCCTTACTTGCGATGAAAAATGGATTCCATATGATAATTCTACACGAAAACGGCAATGGCTAAAACCTGGTGAGGAGCCAATACCAACACCAAAACCCGACTTCCATAGCAAGAAAGTAATGCTTACTGTCTGGTGGAATTCCCAAGGCATTGTTTATTTTGAGCTGCTTAAACCTGGACAAACAATCACGGGTGAAACGTATGCACAACAACTGGAACGAGTGAACAATGTATTGCTACAAAAGGCCTTGATCCCTCAAACATAAAGTTGATTCAAGATAACGCCCGTCCACACGTTGCAAAGATTGTTCAGGAAAAACTCGAAGAGTTGGGCTGGGAAACTCTCCCGCATCCGCCATATTCTCCGGATATTTCTCCTTCGGATTACCATTTATTTCGTTCAATGCGAAACCATTTGGCTGGAAACAAGTTCAAAGAAGTGTTCAAGAGGTCGAAAAATGGATAGCCGACTTCTTTGCCTCAAAACAAGCCAATTTTTTACGCGGAGGGAATTCATTCTTTGCATGGAAGATGGAAACAAATATTGTTAACAAATGGTGAATATATTGTTGATTGAGCTGTTAAACTGTTGGTTTTAAAATAAAGAGTTGTTATCTTAAAAACGTGCATTTATAACTGGACAACCTAATATATATATTTTATGTATTTATGTATGTATTGTTTAATTTCAGGGACCCGACGGCGGTTTCAAGGTGAAACTCTCGGATGAGGGCGAGGAGGATTTGAGTGAGGAGGAGAACGACGAAGATGAGCACTCAACCAGCACGTGGGTGTTTAGAATTATAAAAAAAATAGATCAATATTGTTTAGTTTACATTAAATAATCAATTTTATATGTAAATTAGCATAAAAGAAGTCAAAAATTGAATAAATTGAAAGATTCAAGCACAAAGTTGAGCCAAGCTTTTGCTGCTCATTTCTGGGTTTTTCAGTGAGGATTTGCTTTAGAAATATAAAATAAAAGATGAAAAATACAAAAGTATATCGATTTTTACAGTCACAGCGGTTCTGAGGACACGGAATCGGTTTTTCCGATTTCTTCGCAAATCCCAGGAATTAAAGCGATCAAACCGGCGTCTGTCGGGAAAAAGAAAACCGATCGGGTGAGAATTTTAATAATATATATGAATTTAATGATTTAAATTTATATATTGATATCAAAATGCAAATTTCTAGGCTCAAATGGCCGCCAAGGAGCTGGTGGATTCCGAGCAGCGATATGTTGACAAATTGAGACTTTTGGATCAAGTGAGCTTAGAAAAAAAGCTCGAAAAAAGCTTTAAAAAGCTTAAAAATCAAGTACTAGAGAAATTGATAGGTTTATATTTATTATTTAATAAATAAATTCTTTTTTAGATGTTTCGATTAGAGGTGGAAGCGATGGAGAAAGCTGGTGACATCGAGAAAGGAAAAGTGAGCTCGAGACATTTCATTCAATGTACTTTGTACTAATATAAAAACATCCTTTCTGAAAATTTTCCCTTTTCTCGTTAATCCCCATGAATGATTGGAGAAAATTGGAGAATTTGAAGTGCGGTAGAAAGGCTGTGTTTGCTCTATGAACACTTCAGTCTAGAGATGTGAAATTCCACCTTTTCTCAGCTGTTTCTAGCCTGATTGTCCTGTAATTTTGGCTGTAGACTTGCTGATTCTTTAGAGATCTTTAGAGATAGAGATCGTTAGAGATAGAGATCTTTAGAGATAGAGATCTTTAGAGATAGAGATCTTTAGAGATAGAGATAGAGATCTTTAGAGATAGAGATCTTTAGAGATAGAGATAGAGATCTTTAGAGATAGAGATAGAGATCTTTAGAGATAGGATGGTCTTGATGCTGGTGTTTGGATAGGTGGATTGGTGGTGTTTGGTGGTGTCTTTGGGGATAGAGATCTTTCGACAAAATTTTGCAACAAGAAAAGAGCTAAGAAAGTTAAGAGCTAAGAAAATGAGCGAAGAAAACGAGCTAAGAAAACGAATCATTCAATTCGTTTGAAACTGGAAGAACTGGTGAAACTAGAATGGAAGTTGTCTAGTAAACTTAAAAACAAGCTTTTTCCCTTTATTCGAAACTTTTAGGTGAGTAAACTGTTCTCAAACATCTCCTCTCTGCACACTTTCCACAACACTCATCTCCTGCCGCAGTTGATGGACGCAAATCGATCGTGGAATAATACGAGAAGGTGGGGAGAATGATTTCAAAGTATTTCAAAGATACAGAGTAGTATGGCTTTATTTCTTTTAACTGAATAGCTTGAAAGCATGGTTAATTTCAATGTTTTAATGTTGGAAATTTTAATTTATAAGAATTATTTCAGAATCTCGCATGTGATGAAAAAGTTGGCACCTTTTTTTGAAGATGTATTCGGAATACACAAATAATTACAATGATTCTGTGAAAGTTTTCGAAGAATTGCGAGGAAAAAACAAGAAATTCGCTGATTTGGTCGCTAAATTGGAAAGGTTTGTGGAAATTAGATGCTTGGAAAAAGTTAGAACGCTTGTGTTTCCATTAGAAACCTTATGTTTCCCTTTTTTTTCCCTTTTTTCCCTTTTAAAAAAGCTTTTAGATTACCCGAATGCGACAATTTGCCCCTTTCATCGCATTTGATTTGTCCAGTGCAACGAGTGATGCGCTATCAACTATTGTTACAAGTTCGTTTTGTGAAAAAAACAAAATAAGTTCAGATAGCTTAGATAGAAAAAACAAAATAAGCTTAGATTTAGCAAAATATAGCAATTGGTTATAGCAAATTTTAAGGAATACAAGAAACATTTGAACAAAAGTGATGTCGATTTTGCGGACACCGACGAAGCGTTGGGATTGGTGTTGAAAGCGGCCGAGCATGCGAATGAGACAATGAGGAAATTGGTGGGTACGCTTGGCAACTATCTACCCTACCCTATAGCAGCTACAGTATTCACTTCGCCACGTAGAATAGACGATTCATAAATACGGTTACGGTAGGGTATGCTTTAGAACAAAGATCAGAGAGTTTCGATCTTGAATTCAAGGCAGCTTTGAGTTTTTTTTTTTGAAGAAAATTCGTGTAAAAACTGTAAGTACCATTTTTTTATTTGAAGAAATTTCTTAATTATTTCAGGAACGTTATCGAAAAGTGATCGAGATGCAAGAGCTGCTGGGAAATTCGCTTCCATTGGTGTCCGTTGGAAGGGAATTCATTGAGATGGGTCCAATACAAAAGATCAACTCGGGTACGCATAAACCGGAGGAAAGGTGAGAAAAAGTTTTTGGTAAACTTTTCAAAAAAAACCTTGTAGATATCTTTTCTTGTTCAACGATTTGGTTCTATTGGGTGTGAAGGGAATTGTGAGTAAATATCGAGTGAGAGCACGATTTGAGGCACTTCATACAAGGGTTTGTTTGGAAGATCGTGTACTTTGCGCTCAATCCTTTCTGGATTGAAACCCATCCTTTCTGGCGCATTAAAACAGCCATTTATCTCGGCTTTCGAAGAATTCAGTGCGCCAGAAAGGGTTTGTTTCGAGCAGAAAGAAGATTTAGAGAAATTTTCAAAGAAAACTCTATCAATGAACTTTTCAGATCTGTGAAGGGGACAATCTCGAACGGGAGCACTCGTTTTATTTGCGAGGTAGCTACGGGAGTGAACCGCAGAGGTAAAAGTTTAGAAGTGGAGTTAGAATTGGATGATTCTAATCAAATTCTAATGCTAAAGTGTTTGCAGATGTGTTGAACTGTTCGCTGACAGTCGAGACGTCAAAGAGAAATGGATGCGTAAACTGCAAGAAGTGATCACAAAATCTCGAGACAATTCGGCGTCTTTCAGCAAACATGGAAGCAAGGTCAGATCCACAAAAGGAATTTTTCTTTCTAGGACTTGAACCCATTCTATAAGTTATGGATTAGCTAATAGATAAGCTAATGGATAAGGTGATGGATAAGCTGATGGATAAGCTAATGGATAAGCTAATGGATAAGGTGATGGATAAGCTGATGGATAAGGTGATGGATAAGCTAATGGATAAGCTAATGGATAAGGTGATGGATGAGCTGAGGGATAAGTTAATGGATAAGCTAATGGATAAGCTAATGGAAAATCCGAGTTGACGATACTATATTATTGGTTTGAAATTTCAGCGAAGTTCAATCTCGGAAACAAAATCGAATAACTCAAAGTACTGTGCCGAGTGTGATGCCGAGTTGGGATTCATGAAAAAGGTAAGAGATTCGAGATTTTACAATAGCTGAATAAGGGCAAAATAACAGTAACTTCACTAATCGTTGATTCAAAACAAACTTACTTGTTCGCTAAAAGCAAGAGAAGCAAAAAACAGAGTTTATGGTAACACGCCAACCATTTATCTCTTCAAATCTCTCTTCTTATCCATCCAAATTTTAGCTTTTCAAATCGAAATGCTCAAAATGCAATCGGAAACTCTGCGACAAGTGCCTCGGGCGATACAAGAGTGACGGGAAAAAGGGGAAAATCTGTGAAGCTTGTGTAAAGAATACCTTGGTGAGTTGAGAAAATAGTAGAAAATGGGCTAATTCTAGAATAATATTCAGTTCTTTTATTCAGAATTCGGATACGCTTCGAAACGCGGCGGCGATGATGCGCGGTGATGTGCTTGATAAGCCGCCAAAGGGTGACGGAGTTTTGCATGGATCGGAAGTTCGATTCAAGGTAGTTTCAAGGTTTTATATGTAAATTTTCACCTTAAATCTTCTAGGGTTCTCTGGGGAAACCGTTCAAGCGATATTTCGCGGTGAGAAACGATTTCTGTTTGTACTCGTATGAATCAGAAAAGGTTAGTGTTGAGGAAGGGAAATAGATAAATGTAAAAGATGGAATTGATTGTGATTGTGATTGTGGATTGTGAAAGGCTTTGAATTCTATTCTATTTGAATTCTAATTCTATTCTATTCGAATTTTCAGCACAATCGAGCCGTCTCAATGCTTCCATTGCCTGGAGCTGAGGTGAAGATGTGCGGCGAGAAGTTGAGCTTTCAGGTCAGAAGAATTGAGAGATTTTTGAAGAAAATATAAGATAATTGATAGATAAATAGATAAATAGATAAATAGATAAATAGATAAATAGATAAAATATAATACAATAGATCGAATATAATGCCAAAATATCCTTTCAGCTTCGAGTGGGAACAAGACGATTGTATACGATCTCTGTCGATGATGAAACAACACAAGCAAAGTGGGGGTTTTCAGTAAGAAAAGCTATTTTTCGATATTTATAAAGGATTTTGCAAGTTTCCAATTGGTCAATGACAAAGCGATGATGCTTTAAAGTTTTTAGTTCAATATTTGTGATAATGAAAACTAATTAATAACATGGTGTAGGAGTCAAAAATTTCATCAACTCCTCTTACAAAATTCATTTTTCAGATGGATGGCCGTTTTGGATTTGGCAGCGAATGCGCAACTCAGCCAATCAGACACCGAATGAGCAAATCTTTTAACAACAATTCCCTAAATTCTTCCCAAAAAAACCTCAAATCCTGACTACGGTTGTAATTTCGCCATTTTCATGTACTTTTTGTCCAATTCTTCACCCAATTCTTCACCCAATTCAGATGAAAACATATCAGTGAAAATCTTTCCGTCTCCTTTTTAGGTTTAGCCAATTGGTTAGGGGTTAGATTGTGGGGAAATTGAACCAGAGGGAAGAGTCGGGTTCAGCTTTCGATGTTTGGACAGTTTTTAGGCCAAGTTTAGAGTCAGGTTTGTAGTAAGCAAAGCTAGAGTTGGCTTAGTCCATAAAAAACTATCAGAAATCGCTAAAAAATCTGACCCTGGCCTTAGCCTCGCCTAGCTTACAGCCCGAGGATCCCAGTAGTAGACCAGGGTCAAGGCCAGACCATGAAAAATTGGCACCTTATCCCTGAAGAATTTAACTAGATACAGATATAGATATAGTAGTCCAACTGGAGGTAAAAATCCGGTTACAGTGTTGTTTCAAGTTGATCAAGTCGATCAAGTCGATCAAGTCGATCAAGTCGATCAATAGTCGATCAAGTCAAGTCGATCAAGTCGATCAAAATCCATCAAATCAGAGTTAAAAGCTAAATTCCCAGGTCAAGGTATACTTATCGAATAGATTTTCATGTTTTGACCTGACTTACACTCGTTTAAAGACCATGAATTAGTCTTGAGGATCAGCTCAGTCCCAACTCTATCACTGGTTCAATTACCCATCACCATTCTTTCCATCTTTTACCCTATCTTTCCAAATCGTGGAATCTCGTGCTGAAAAAACTCACTTCAAGCAAATATTAAATCCTTTTGTGTACAAATTACGAATTTTTATGTAAATATTGCTTCTCATTTCAATTTCTCGTCCTTTCTCACCAAAGGAATGTGCAATGCCATTTTTTTGCAGCTGTTTGATAAATTTTATCAGTGAACAAAGGAATATAACGAGAATCTCAAGCAGTAAACAAAAAATTTCAAAAAAAACCAGCAATGTCGGAGTAATTTGATTGATAAATCAATCAAATCAATCAAATCAATCAAATCAATCAAATCAATCAAATCAATCAATCAATTTCAATCAATTCAATTCAATCAATCAATTCAATCAATTCAATCAATTCAATCAATTCAATCAATCAATTTCAATCAATTCAATTCAATCAATCAATTCAATCAATTTAATCAATTCAATCAATTCAATCCCAATTTCAATCAATTTCAATCAATTTCAATCAATCAAATCAATCAATCAAATCAATCAATCAAATCAATCAATCAAATTAATCAATCAAATCAATTAATCAAATCAATCAATTAAATCAATCAATCAAATCAATCAATCAAATCAATCAATCAAATTAATCAATCAAATCAATCAATTAAATCAATCAATCAAATCAATCAATCAAATCAATCAATCAAATCAATCAATCAAATCAATCAATCAAATCAATCAATCAAATCAATCAATCAAATCAATCAATCAAATCAATCAATCAAATCAATCAAATCAATCAAATCAATCAAATCAATCAAATCAATCAATCAATCAAATCAATCAATCAAATCAATCAATCAAATCAATCAATCAAATCAATCAATCAAATCAATCAATCAAATCAATCAATCAAATCAATCAATCAAATCAATCAATCAAATCAATCAATCAAATCAATCAATCAAATCAATCAATCAAATCAATCAATCAAATCAATCAATCAAATCAATCAATCAAATCAATCAATCAATCAATCAAATCAATCAATCAAATCAATCAATCAAATCAATCAATCAAATCAATCAATCAAATCAATCAATCAAATCAATCAATCAAATCAATCAATCAAATCAATCAAATCAATCAAATCAATCAAATCAATCAAATCAATTCAATCAATCAAATCAATCAAATCAAATTAAAAATTTTGAAATCAACTTAATCGAACGTAACATATAAATGATGGGGTTTTCAATGATTTTCATTTTTTCTCCTTTCCATTAAATGAATATGAAATGTGTAAATTTTATCAATTAAACACGTTAATTTTATTAATCTATAGCAAAAATATTATCAAATTATATAATCATGAAGAACATCATCAAGAACAGAGTTTTGATTGTAATAAAAGAAAAAGAAATGTGGAAAAATAAAAGAATCCAAGAAATGACATCATAACCATAAATCTACATGTACTTACCTAGCATTTCAATTTTTATTTCGATTTTTATCTATCATCTATTTGTGACTCTAGCCGACATAATTTTGTCTGTCTGTAAACATCGTAAATTTGCATTTAACTGTCAAACAGTTAACAGTGAAGTGAACGGTGAAGTGAACAGTGAAGTGAACAGTTCAAAACGCAACATTAGCAAAAGCTTTTCTTGATATCAAGCATATTAATGGGGGAAACAACACTACTGCATGGGCAATTCATCTGCCGATCATTTAATATAGCATCAATAAAGAAAACACTAATACATACAGTACTGGACAATGAAATATGAATATTTGAAAAACGATCGTCACTTTCGCGCGTCTGTAACTCCCTTGTCTTTGAGTTTAAACTATTAGTGTTATACATTTTCTGAAAGCTCTTTTCAAGGGCTACACAATGGTAATATTAATATTTAGAAATAAGATAAAGACAAGGGAGTTACAGACGCGCGAAAGTGACGATCTTTTTTCAAATATGGATATTTCATTGTTCAGTAGTGTAAATGATGAGATTTTCAATGATTTTCATTTTTTGTCCTTTCCATTAAATGAAAATGAAATGTGTCAATTTTATCAATTAAAAACATTAATTTTATTAATCTATAGCAAAAATATTATCAAATTATATAATTAAGATAAGGCAAAGCTTTCAAAAAATATAAATATTTGGTAGTTTTAGCAAAAGAAGACACGTATTTTAAGACCCGAAAAGCAAAAAAAAAAAAAAAGGGGGAAAGACTAGGAAATTTGCATTTAATTTAAAATAAATGTAATGTTTTTTATATATGATAGCATAGAATTAGAATTAGAATTATAATTATAAAGTGTACGGTGGTGGCGGGTCTTCGGTTCTTGTGAGCACTGTTTCCGTGTATGGGGGAGGGGCTCGTTGCACGTGAATCTGCAAGAAAATCGATTGTAACTAGGCGTTGTAACTTTGCGCTTAGACAAACAGATAAACACATCCCTTCTAGTGCACTGAAGCGTTTATTTTCTTACAATGCTAGATTGTTTCTGTAAAAAGTGAGCTGTAGAAAGGCTTTCAGCTTTCAGCTCGACTTTCAGCTTTCCTTCTTGACGTACCTTGTGCTTAAAAGTAAACGCATCACTTCTGGTGCTTAAAAGTAAACGCATCGCTTCTGGTGTACTTAATTCCGTATTTTTCTTGGAGAAATGAGTGATTTTCTACTTAAAAATGAAAATATGCCTAAAAAGGTACGAAAATATGCCCAGCACAAAATCTATTAAACTAGAGTTAAAGAGTTAAAAGTTAACGACATTTCCTCAAACTAAAGTAAGCCAAAATCGAATTAGATATATGATTAATAAAGTAAAATTAGAACTAAAGAATTTCCATCATCACACCTTGAAATCAAAAGCTTGACTCTCGATCGAGTTTCCTCTACGTCGATCTCTTCGCGGACAGCCACCGGTTCTAAAACATTCTTGAGTCTTATAAAGAATACATTTATTTACACGAATAACATAGTACAAATAATACATACCGTAAATACTGTAAGAGTACCCCACCCCCATAATGACGGTGCGGAGTGTTGTGTAGTCTAGCTTTGAACGCGTTTTTCTCGACACTGGTTGATGCTACAATGCGCGTTTAGGTATCAAAAAATAGCTGAAATTCAGGGCTATTTTTTGATACCAAAGACGCATTTTTTGAAAGTACGGGTGCTTTGAAAAAAATGAAATACTAAAAAACTTACCACTTACGACTGCGACTACGCGACTGTACGAGGGCGGTGGGGTACTATTACAGTATTTACGGTAAGCACAACCCTTAAGCCTAAATATAGAAAAGAAAAATCCATATATATCTAGAAAAAAAACCAATAATCTAGCCAGCGGGATTGAACCCGTTGGTTAGATTTTTGGCTCTCCACTAAGATACAGAGCTTTTAGCCAGTGCCGACTGGCTAAAAGCTCTGTATCTTAGTCGCATGGCAACCAATGGCATCTTGTGATAATAACTTGCATAAACACACAATTTAAGGACTATTTTGTTTGCGGAGATATCTAGACCATTTCAAAGTGACTATCAGCCAATTTTTGTAAATGTTGCTCGTCTGGATTACTGGCTATAGATAATAAATACTTGTATTATTATAAAATAGTGAAAACTCACTGAAAAAACAATCGCAATCCACAGAATACCCCGGACATGAGAAGGATGATTGAGATGAGAAGGACAGCTTGCGGTAGATACGGAATCGTTTCCGACCAAGCTGAAAGCATGAATAAGAATTGGAGATTCTTGAATTTTCGTTAATTTTACAGGATATTGTTTGGTCTCCCCGCGCACAAGTCTTTATTGAACGCTTGGAGAAAATTCAGAGGAGGTTCACAAAAGTCGCTTTATGGAAAATTGACTATTCTAAATATTCTAGCTTTACTTATGAGGAGAGACTTGCTTTTTTTTGAACTAAAAACTTTACAGCATCGTCGCTTTGTCATTGATTTAGTCGAAACTTTCAAAATCCTCCGTTGTAAACAGATTAGCCCTTTGTTTATAGACTTTTTCAAATTTAAAGCGCGGTCAGGGCCCAGAAGTGGCTCATTCCTTTTGCAAATTCCCTTTGCTTCCAATGCCTCTTTATCAAATTCATTTCCCGTTAGAGCCGCTAGATTATGGAACTTGCTCCCAAACGACATACGTGAAATTCAGTCGCTTTTCATATTCAAGAAACGTATCGATGCTTTAGATCTAGTGGCTCTTTGCCGTAAGTAATTGGCTTATTGATTTC